GAGAAGGGGGAGGAAGTGATTCTCTTGTGTCCCAAAGTCCATGTCAGAGAGAGTAAATATTTCCTCTGGTGTGAAAAATATTTTTATAAATGGTTGAAAGTGCAGGTAACAGGTTTATCAGGAAAGAGAGTTAAGGAATACTAAAATTAGCAGATTCTTGTCTGAATTTTTAATGTCCAAAACTGTTGATTGCAGCTAGTTGCTTTGAGCATTGACAAGGGCCACCTTTTGCCTATGAAGTTGTCTCAAAATCTTGCATTGATTAAAAAAGAAAAAAGAAAAAAAAGGAAAAAAAGAAAAAAAAAGGAAAAAAAATCTTTAATCCAAGTAGCATTAGGTATTGCTGTATGATCAGTTGTATGGTTATTTGAAAGGTTCACATTATGTGGCATCAAAATCGTTTTTAGTGTTTTTACAGCATCCCTCTGCCACTAAATAGTTGACTTGAATTTTGAAAACAAATGTTTGTGTTTATATGTATATGTGTGTGTATATATGTATTTATAGATCTGTGTGTGTGAGTTAAAAGTGAGTTAAATAGTTTTTCCCATGCATGTGTATTTCATACATATCTGGCTGATATATATATTTCACCATACACCAATTTTATAATTTATTAAATGTCAGTTAAAAAAATAAATAAAAGGATAGAAAATGGGAAATACTTATTTTTTAAGCTCAGTCTGATTTTGAAGTGATTAAACCTACATTAGGAATATATCTCATACATTTTAGTCATGAATACTAACCTGGTAACTTCAGAGCATATGCTTTGCTATAATACCGTTTGTAAATCTGGAGTATGACTGCCATCAGTGTAACTGGGAGCGTGTGTGTCCCCAGCTTCTGAAACAACCCAGAGAAATTCGGGAGAGCTTGTTGCTGTTTTACCGACAATTGTGGCAACGTTTTCATTGACTGTATTGTTAAAGATGACCTGAAGAGCAGCTGATGTCACTTTTGACAATGGTATTAAAATCTTGTGAGTTCACTTGTAAAATTAAACGTGGCAAGTGTGTGGTAACGCAGAATCTGGCATCTTTATGCCTGTCTTAGCTTTTGGAAGGTGATGTCAGCTGATGACGTCTTCCATTTCCTCACAAGTCACCCTGAAGGGAAGGAAGGCTGTTCAGTTCACTGTTGTCATTTTTTAACCTCATTGCTCTACAAAGAAGGGACAGAAACGTTCTGAAGTCCTCCTTTGTGGTATTAATCCCGTATGCTTTGTGAGTATTCCTGTTTCATGCTAGGGTGTTCTTTATAGTTGATAATTCTCTGTGCCTCTGACCACAGTTAACATTGCTTGGTAGAAGTCTCGGTCTGAGTTCTCGACAAGTTCCCTGCAAATGTCACTCCAAAGCTTCATCTCCGTTAGTTCGCGTTTTATCAAGGATGCAGTAAGGCAACCCAGGGTGGCCTGGCTTGCAGTACGGCTCTGTTTGCTACAGATTGCAGAGTTTCTCTCGTCCTTAGACTAGTGGTCTCTTGTCTTCAGATTCTTCCACGAGAGGAGTGGGATGCGCACACGCGTGTGTTCCGTATCGTGCTCCGTGCGCGTGTGTATGTACACACACGGATACGAGTACGGAGCTGTTTGAATAGCAGGGTGGAAATGGCCTTCAATCACTCGAGGGCATTACGAATGCATCCTTTAGAAGATGAAAAACCGCGCTAAACTATAACTTGTGCTGTGCGTTAAAATTTTGTAGCGCTTGTCTAACGATAGACTTGACAGCAGTTCCCGGCTTGGCCCTTCCTCTCCACGGCCAGGATTCAATAAGCCTTTCAAGGATCGGATGACTGATAGATTTTCATGGGACTCTCTTGGACCAACGCAGAGCTAAGGACTGAGGAGAACGTTTTGAAAACTTAATTCTTCGTTGCAATTTAACATTTCAGGGTTTTAAGCACGTTTGAAATAGAAAGGATTTTGTTTTGTCAGTGTAACTGGTTTTTTGCCTTTTTTTTTTTTTTTTTTAAAACCAGAGCTTAGATTTCTAACAAGGGAAAATTGCTGGTGGTCCCCGAAAGTGCTGCTGTTAATTGTTTTAATTAACAAAGGGAAAGATGTATATAAGCAGAATATTAAAATTACCATTAATTCCATGAATTTAAATCTGTCATTCATTGCCTTAAGACTTTCTCTTAGTTTCCATACGGCATGCCAAACCAGTAAATGGCTTTTAAAAATGTATAGTAGACCAATGTCAGTTTGTATAAAAGTACCAAGTGAAAATATTTATTATATGCATTGGAAAAAAAATGGTTTACCTATTGAATGTTACCTGTTTATGTAGAAATCTTTAGATGTAATAAAAAGCATTCAGTTACATTGTGTTTTCTGGGGGGGG